GTTGTTGTTGTTTGTTTTTTGTTTTTTATGGTGAGAAAAATTTATCACATTTAGAATTAGCCCGCTGGACTCAGTTTAGATGATCCCAATTTTGTTGGCAACATCCAAAGCATCATAGTCAGGAGCAAGTCGAACATAGGCCTTCTTCTCTCCATCAGGCCTAATCAAGGTGCTGACCTTAGCCACATCATTGTCATAGAGCTTCGTTACAGCTTGTTTTATTTGGTGCTTGTTGGCCTTGACATCCACCATGAACACAAGTGTGTTGTTATCTTCTATCTTCTTCATAGCTGACTCAGTGGTCAGGGGAAATTTGATGATGGCATAGTGGTCAAGCTTGTTTCTCCTGGGGGCGCTCTTCCGGGGGTATTTGGGCTGCCGTCGGAGTCTCAGCGTCTTAGGCCTCCGGAACGTGGGTGACATGCGGATCTTCTTTTTTTTTTGGCTGTGGACGCCCTTCAGGACGTCTTCTTGGCCTTCGAGTCACAGGCGACTCATAGCGACCCTATGAAGGCGAGTCCTCAACACTTGGATGCCTTTCATGCTCTCTCTCCAGGTTCACAGGGTTTCTGGAGGCAAGCTGTTATGGAAGTGGATGCCACTCCTCCCTCCACGGTCTTAGTAATAAATAGGAGTAATTATTAAAGGCTCAACATAATTTTTTTAAATTGGAAATGTACCGAAAAAAATGCTGCTTCATAATGCTCTTAGGAAGAACGCAAGGAATAAAGTAAAGACTGTCATCTAAGAATATTGAGCTTTAAGGAGAGGCCTCTCTGGGAAGCCACAGCGCCCTGGTGACACTGTGAGTAAAGCATGAGGCTGCTAGCCAGGAGCTTGTTTGGAAACCCTGTGGGACTGCTCCACTCTGTCCTAGACGGTCACTCTGAGCTAGAATCAGCTTGACAGCAGTAAATGTGGTCTGGTCCGGTTTGCTCTGACCTCTGGTCAGGTCTGAAGGCAGAAAGGATATCTCTGTAAAAAGGGAGAATTCAAACCCAGGTACAGTTATTGCTACTTGTCCTTGAGACCTTTTCTATTCATGATGACCCAATGTATCAGACCCCCCTGTACCCAGCACCCACCATGATGGTCACTGGTGTACTGGAATCCACTTTTGTAGCCATTGTGTCTTTTGGATGCCTCTTGTGTGCACTTGTCTTCCAGCCCTTTATCAGATAATAAATAATCTGTGGCTTGTTAAATAACAAGAAATCAATGCTGGGGACAATGGAGCATATTTGGGGCACCCAAACTATTTCATTAACCTAATAATGCCTCTCTTACCACTAAGTCATCAGAACTCCAGGAAGGTCTGATGGCTTAGTGATAAGGAGTTGCACGGCCAATCCAAAGGCACACGGTTCAAATCCACCTGCTGCTGCACAGGGAAAGATGTGCCCTCTGAAAACCAGCTGGAGGCTCAGTTATGAATCAGTTCTAATTTAGTGATATACAATGACAACAACAACAATGCCCCTATTAAGGATGAATGTTGTCATACCCGCCCTCTGAATGTGAAAGCTGGCAATTCAGAGAGGTCCTGTAATCAGTCTTAGGCTCAACCCTAGTCCAGCTTTTTTTAACTAGAGAGCCCATCATCTAAATGACCGTGTTCGCTCTGAGCTTTTTTGCTAAGCCCAGGCAGACTCCAGTGTGTGGATATTGCAAAGAGGCAAAATTGGGTTTGCCACAAGGATGAACTTGTTAAGGAATGTTGAACTTCCTTGTTGTTTAATCATGCCTCTGGAAATAGCAGCGCCTGTTCATGAGTGTTTTTAACCAAAAATCCGTTATCGGGCAGATAACTAATGTTGTAGAAGAAGCATGACTAAGATAAAGGAGCATTTAACAATGATGACATAAGCAGTCCTACAGGAAGGTACTTACTGTCTCACGCATTGCCGTTGAGTCAGGCCCAACCTGGAGCTGACTGTTCACTGGGTTTCTAAGCTGTAAATCACACAGGAGGAAACGGCTCATTTTCCTCCTGCGATGCTGCTGGTGGGTTCAGACCGCCGGCGAGGCACAGCCTTTGGTGAGCAGCACAGCTCCCTGTGGCCAACAGAGTTCCAAACAGGAAGAGAGAAAAATCTTCTTCTGTGTGCATCTAACAACCAAGAGCTCCACTGCCGTTAAGTCTCTTCTGACTCCTGGTGCCCTCCATAGGGTTTCCAAGCTCTGAGTCTTTATGAGAGGAGAGTACCCATCTTCCTCGCTTGGAGCCACTGGTGGATTCAAACTACCAACCTTCCAGTTATCAGAGTAATATATCATGCACAATGACACAGAGCTCCTTTCATCTGATAGCATAACTTCAAAATGCTTACAACGAAAATGACAGACCTACTACAAGGAGAAATAATAGACATTGCTGTTTGATGATTTCAATACACTTCAATTAGTAAGTAAGAGGAGGGAAACCCAAATAAGAAATAAAATTCAAACAACACAGTTATTCAACTTAACAGACAAATATAGAACACACACCAATAATTGCAGAACACGTATTATGTTCAAGTCCATCTGGAACTTTCACAAGAGGGCTATCTAGCAGAGATACAGAAGATACTTTTTATTGAATAGGAAGTTGGGTGGGTTGAGTTTTAAGATCACTCCTACATATGAAATTCTAAAATTTTACTCATGTTTTCCTAAGAATCTCACCCTTGGTTCAGCTTCCTCATTTCTTGCTGCTGGTAATCTTGTCTTTTCATCTATTCCCTAAAAGAAACAGCAGCTTTGACCGTGGCATTGACGCTAAGAATGACTGTGTGAATGTAGGATGTGAGAGCATCCCCAGATCTTGCTGACTCTGCTAGGCTAACATTTCTGCCACCAGTTCCCTCATTTCTGCATCCCAGGTCAGAGTCACCAGCCAGCTCCTACCTCCTGAGCCTCTCAGGAGTCATTCTCTGAAGTCACTTCTCATTACTAAGCCACCATGTAAGAGCAGGCTAGACCCTTATCCGCTCCACACTGTTTCCAGAAGCCCATGTATTCGACCTCATTCTCACAGTGACGTGGTGAACTTACCAAAACAGTTGGCAGCACAATAGAGTGAAAGAAGAAAACAACAAATCAAGACAAAATAAGTGCAGATACGTAAAGTAAAACTAGGGCTCTGTTGTTGTTATTGTTAGTTTCATCTGAGCCAATTCTAACTCATGGGAACCCCACATGTGCAAAGGGAAACTGCTCCATAGGGTTTTCAATGCTATGACTTTTCCGAAGTTCACCAGGCCTTTCTTCCAAGGCACCTCTAAGTGAATTCAACATAGTCAAGTGCTTAACTATTTGTACCTCCCAAGGAATTTCAGATCCTTGCTTGCTGAGTCAAAAATAGACTACAAAGAGATGAGTGCGTCCCGCCAGCTCGAGTGCATGGGTGGGCTGCTTCAGACCCCAACTCTGGCCTTCCACTACTTCTTGGTGCTCTGAGTCCCCCCACAAAAGCCTCTTTAGAAGAGGAGGCCTATTTACGTTGCTTCATCCCCAGACGTTTGCAGCTGTGTTGTTGTTAGGTGTTGTTGAGTCAAATACGACTCACAGCAACCCTATGAACAACAAATCTGCCCTATCCTGTGCCAGCCGCACAATCTCTGACATATTTGAGTTCATTGCCGCAGTCACTGTGTTGATCTAACTTGCTGAGGGTCTTTCTGGCATTCGAGGACCGTCCACTTTCTAAGCATCATGTTCCTTTCCACGGAATCGCCTCTCCTTGCAGCATGCCCCAAGTATGTGAGATGAAGCTTCATCATCCTTGCCTCCAAGGAGCCCTTAGGAAACAAAATTGTAAAACATCTGGAAAAAAAAATAGATGCTCCTTAGAAGCAAGGATGGTGAGACTTTGTGTGTCAGGCTTCAGATGTGTTATCAAGCTTGGTAAAGGAGAGGGTGGGCATAGGAGAAGGACCCTCCACACAACGGACGACGCAGTGGCCACTGCAGTGGGCAGCACAGGAGAGGTGGTGAACACGGCACAGGAAGTGTTTCATCTGTTATACGCTGGGTCACTATGAGGCAGAACCAACCTGAAGGCCTCTAACAACGACATAGGAGCTCACAGCTAGGGAAGCCCTCCTTCCAGCCTTCCAGGTGAAGTAGCATCTGGGATGACAGAAAGCGCCACACTGGGGAGACTTCGAGAGCTTGTGGAATCAGCCTTCTGATGTTCAAATACGGGCCCTGCCACTCATGAGTCATGTGACTTTAGGCCAACACTCTAGGTTCAGTGACTGCCAGCATTCAGAACTACAATTCCTTCCTTGTAGGATAAGGATTCTGTTCAATGGCTAGAAAATAAACTGGGATATAGGGAACTCAAGTGATACTGTTGTTGGCCTGGTTCAGATTGTTTTTCTGTCAAATATTCTTCTAGGTGGCATAGCAGTGGTCTGTGCATTGCTGTACAGAGGTAACTCTAACTCGTGGTTGCTGTGATGCTGAACACTGTGACACTGATGTGTCAAATGCGATAATGGTCACCCATGGTGGACAGTGTTTGGTGGAGCTTCCCAATTAAAACAAGCTTGGAAGCAGGAGTGACATCCACTTCCGAAATGGCTTGCCTCCAGAAACTCTATGAACAGTGCAGGTCTTTCATTCACAGGGTCGTTATGAGTTGTCTACGACTCAACAGCACCTAACAACAACAACAACAACAACTAGTGACATAGTTTGTGGGGAGTTGGTCCACTAGCCTAAGAGGCTTCACTTCTCTAGCAGTTCAAATCCACCAGCTGCTCCGAGGGAGAAAGACAGGCAGTCTCCTCCCATGCAGGTTACAGTCTCCGAAATCTAATGGCGGGTCTGCTCTCAGGTTCAACAGACTGAAATGACAGTGCGAGAGAGGAGGAGATCTGGTATATAGAAAGTGATGCGGCAGGAAATCCTCATTCCTTTTTAAAATGGTCATTTCACCAGGGTCACCTGGTATTGCATGCACAAGGCTGCCAGAATCAGACAAGTCTCGCTCCTCTTCTCCCACTCTGCAGCTTCCTACAAGACAATCGACATCCGTGACCGCCAGGTCCCCAGCACAGGTGAGGTGGAACTCACCTGCCAGGCTGAGGGCTACCCCCTAGCAGAAGTGACCTGGCCGAATGTCAGCGCTCCTGCCAACACCAGCCACACCAAGACCCCTGAGGACCTCTACCAGGTCACGAGCATTCTGCGCCTAAAGCCACAGCCCGGCCAGAATGTGAGCTGCGTGTTCTGGAATCCGTATGTGAACGAGCGAACATCAGCCGTCATCGACCTGCAAGGTAACGGTTACCTGGCTCCGTGTGCCAGGTCCTGTGCACTCAGGATGAGTACCGGGAGAGTGTGAGGGGGGCTCTTCACAGAGCTGTGATGGGGTTAGGAAACCCAACAAAGGCCACCGAATGCAGGGTCCTGGGCACCAACAGTGGGCATGGGGCACAGTTCCCAGGGCTGGGATGCATGGTCCTGAGAGCCACAGTCTCTGAGAGAGGGGAACTGCCCATGCAGAACTCCCCAGGGGTAGAAGGTGGGTGCGTGGACGCCCATCCTCGTTCACCAACCCCCCCCCAACACACACACCTTACTCCCTCCTGCTTGAGCCTCTGTAATGGGAGTTTGCCGCCCCCGGGGGACAGGGATGTGAACACAAGACCACGGCCTTCCACACGTTGTTTCCTGAGGCTGAAGCATTGACAGTGCACGTAGGGGGTGATCTCCCTCAGAACATCTGCCAGGGCAGGTGGTACAGGGAGCCAGCAGAGGGGAAGGAGGCAGGAAAGCCCAGGGCAAGGGGGGAGCTAATGCATCCTTCTACAGTGTCCTTCCACAGCAGAGTCTGGGGCCCCAGAACACAAGGTCTGGCCACAGCAGCTCCCTGCTGCGGGAAGGACGAGTGTTTGAGTGTCTTCCAGCCCAGAGGCTCACTCCCAGCACTCTGTCAGACCATCCTCTGCTGTGATCCATCAGGGGTTCACCTTCCCCCTATCAGACCATCCTCTGCTGTGATCCACTGGGGGTTCACCTTCCAGCACTATCAGACCATCTTCTGTGATCCAGCTCATTGTGGATCAGCTCATTTGCAGACATAGGAAAGCAGGCCTTTCTTCCTAGTAAGTCTCTTAAGGCCAAGAAGCTCCCCTGAAAGCTCTCCACCCTGCTGGCATTTGAGATACTGGCAGCCTAGCTTCCAACGTCTCGGCAACGTGCAAACCATCATGGCATAACGCTGTCGGAGAGTGTGGGACCAGCACCTTGCTGTTGTTGCGGTTGCTAGGTGCTGAGTTGAGTACAACTCATAGCAACCCTATGAACAACAGGTCTGAACCCTGCTCTATCCTGAGCCAGTCTAATCACCTCGGAAATGCATGAGCCCCTTGTTGCGGCCACTGTGTGACCCGTCTTGTCGAGAAGCATCCTCTCTTGCACTCACTCTCCATCTTTCCAAGCTTGACATTCTCCTCCAAGGACTGGCCTCTTCTGACAACGTGCTCAAGGTATGTGGGACAAAGTTCTACCATCCTTGCCTCCCTGGAGCGCCCTGGTTTCATTTCCTGGAGGACAGACCTGTTTGTTCCATCTCAGTTCACAGGATATGCAATACTCTTTCCTGCAATACTCATTTTCCAGCACCACAATTCAATGGCATCAATGATTCTTCTATTATCCTTAAGAGTCCAGTTTGCAGATTGTGTATCAGGCAGTGGAGAGCACCTTGCATCTAAAGAGTGTTCTCTTCTTGGGACTAGCAGATTTTTGGCACAGTTTTGCAGGGTATGTGAAATAGGCAGGCTCTTGGGAGCTAAAAATCTGTTCATCTGGGTTACTTTTAAAAAATAATTGTGAGCTTCCCTCCAAGCAAGATGAGTCACCAGCAGTTCTGTTGGAGTCACCAGCAAAAATTCGGCCAGGGTTCCCACTCATGCCACGTATGCCCAAACTGACACGGACTGATCCAGAAATGCGGACTGAATATGTGCCACCATGGGATTCCGGCAGTACACAAGGATATCGGCTTTAATCAAGTTGGACTAAGTGATCTTCCTTGAATGGCCTAGCCGAGACCTCTACATCACAAGAAACAAGATCAACACTTTATACATAAAAGAATATTTCAGTTACAATAATGTGGTGGAAAAATAATTGTGAGTCATCAGTAGGCAAAGAGGTCTCCAGTTACTCTGAAAAAGTAAACATTTGGGGCTCAGGCACAGAGAAACTATCTCTGCCTCATTCATGTGACGGCCTCCCATTGGTTGAACCCAGCTCGAGGTCAGAAGGCATTAGAATCCGTTGGTGGACAGTGAGATGGGCCTCTGAGAGCTGGGGCAGAGTGCTGGAGGGGAGGATGCCTCCACAGAGATGTCTCTGTGCGCCCATCACAACCCTCACTGCTTGTCTGCTGGCCTGCACAGTGTGCGTGAGTCAGCAGGATGAAGACGGCTTTGCTGGCCTGGAGGTTAGTCAGCTGGTTTGAGAGCATTTCCAGGAAAACTGCCCTCTTCCAGAAAGCTCCAGAGACTCAGTGTTGACATGGTCACTGCTGCTGTCTGAAGTGCACTTTGTATGCACACCAGCAAAATGCCAAACAACTCTACAGAACTAGAAGTTGTTTCTTTCTTAAGCAAGGTTGGTTGATTTTAAACAGCTAACACAGTTTCTATTGCTTCTTTAATAAATCACTGCAAACTCAACAGCTTAAAACAACACCGATTTATTATCTTACTATTCTGAAAGATGAAAATGCAGAGTGGGTGCCCCTGGACAACGTTGAGGTGTCAGCAGGACTGTGTTTCTTCCTGAAGCTCCAGAGAGAATAGAATCTGTCTTCTTGTTTTTCCCAGTGTGAGGAATCTGCCAGCTCCCATTGGTCCCAAGCTGGCTATGTCATCACTTGGACCTCTGCTCCCACCCCGCACCACGTCTTGTCCTCTAACTGTTCTCATCTCTTCTGTCTGAGGACTTTCATGACTGCATTCTGTCTCCTCCTCGTCCCCTCAGGTCATTTAGGGGACATAGGTGGCATGGTCCATAGTGTGTGGAGTTGTCAACCAAAAGGTTGAATATCTCTGGCAGTTCAAAGTCACCAGTGGCTCCAGGAAAGAAAGACGCTGAATCTTCTGGTTTAGATCTAAAACCTTGGAAACCCAGAGGGTCACTATAGGTCAGCAGCAGTTAGAAGTGTAAAGAAGATCTAGAATAATCTCTGTGTTTTATAGTCATTAGCTAATAGTGTTACTGAATGCAAGGGGTTCCTTCTGTAGCCAATCACCAATAAGACACCTGGATTGCAATATCCATAAGCACTTTATTACGCAGATCTGAGAGTCACCTCCAAGACTACCTCCTCATCTGGGAGTGATCATGGGCTTTTACAGGAGGGTGAGACTCACTTAACACTTTTGTTAGTCTACATCTGAAAAGAATAGCTCATATTTAAGTACTATTTAAGTACTGGTGAACAGGCAGGTTAACATACAATTTACATATGACTGGAGAACCAGCCTCAGAGACATCTAGGAGAAATGCATTTCCACTTCTGGTAAACAGAGAGATCAAACTACTTTGCAGGACTAAAGACAGGAAACAGAATTTGGAAGCTAAGTAACTAGTTTTGCAGGCTGAAGAAAACTGATGTTAGATTTATAACTATATGTTGTTGTTGTTATTTGCCGTCGAGTCATTTGCGACTCATAGTGACCCTATGTACAACAGCCCTAAACCCTGCTCTATCTGGTACCAATCACATTGCCTCTGACATACCCATCCCGATTACCCCAGTCACTGAATCAATCCACCTTATAGAGGGTCTTCCCCTCCTACACCGTCCCTCCACCCTTCCAAGCATGATGTCCCTCTCCAAGGACCTGTCCCTCCTTACAACATGTCCAAAGCATGTCAGATGAAGCCCCAGAATCCTTGCCTCTAAGGAGTAGCCTGGTTTAACCCTGTCTAGGATGAATCTATTTGTTTTTTTTGGCAGTCCATGGTACATTCAGTACTCTTCTCCAGCACCACAGCTCAAAGGCATCAATTCTCCTTCTGTCCTCCCTAGTCATTGTCCAACTCTCTGATGCAAAACAAGTGATAGCAAAGACCATGGCCTGTATCAGGCACACCTCAGTCTCCAGAGAGACACCATTGCTCTTGAGTACTTTAGAGAGGTCCCTAACCGCAGACTTTCCCATCGCAATGCATTTTTTTATTTCCTGACTGCTGGTGCCAAGAGTGTTGACCGTGGAGCCAAGCAAACTGAAGCTGAGAACAATCTCAATGTCTTCGCCATCCATCCTGATGCTACCAATTGGTCCAGTGGTGAGAATCTTTGTCTTCTTGACATTGATTATATAATGATAACTATGTATAATTATATAACTATGATTTTATAACTGATACTTATAGAGAATTCTGAACTTATTAATACCACCCTATCATTCCCCCCTCTTTTTATATTAGTCTTATATCTATAAGACAAACATGCCACCCCATCAATCATAACAGTAAAATCCCTTTTTGCCACGGAAGGCAGTGTGTCCACAGGCTTCTTCTGGGAGAACTGCCTCTCCTTCAGAGAACTAACCCTTTTCCACAGTAATCTCAGAGGCGAGGCAGTCAGGCACCAGAGATTCCTTTCCCATGAGATTATCATGGACTGGCACTGAATCCAGATAAGATTCTGCCTCTGAAAACCCACTGGAGGGTCAGCTATGAGTTGGTTCCTACTTGACTCAATGGTACATAACAACCACCACCATTTAAACCAGAGAAGTTAGCCCTTCTCTCTCTGTTACAGAATACAAAGGGTTCTTTTGGTAATCAGTCTCCAATAAGACAAACGGATTGCAATATCCATAAATGCATTTTATTACACAGATCTGGGAGACACTGAGTCACCTCCAAGACTGCCTCCCCGTCTGGGAGTGGTCATGGGCTTTTATAGGAGGGTGAGACACCAATTTACTTAAGAATAAACTTTTGTTAGTAAAATCAAAGAATTTCTATATCTGAAAGAAAATCATTCACACCCAGATACTCCCTTTCCAGGCAAACAGGCAGCTTAAGTTACAATTGACAGATGATTGGGGAAAACGGCTTCAAAGAGATAACAGCTAATCTAGGAGATGCATCTCCTCTTCTGATAAACAGACAGACACTAAGAACTCCAAGGTCAAAAAATCAGTCCTGCAGGCTGGGGAAAACTAACTATAGTTTTGTAATTGATATCTATATAGAGAATTCTGAACTTATCATCTCCACAGAGCTGCTAGTGCATTTAAACCATCAGGGGTCTGCAGTCTTTGAGAGAGTAGCAGGACTCACAATGGACTAAGCCATCAGAGCTAAGCCATTCTCTATGGTGATCTTCTGATAACATTCTCCAGAAGGGCGCTTACTTAAGGATCTCTTCTTAAGCACGGGAAAGGAGCCGGGCAATGAGTGTTGTTAGATAATTCGTGTCTCCACTTTGCACCTCACACTTCCTGGGTGGCAGAGAAAGGGAAAAACAAGCTGACCATTCTACAAAAGCCCTGAAGTGTTGCAGACTGAGGGAAAAGTATTTTTATAATTATTAATAATGAGATAGACAGCACTGAGATAGAACAGAGAGCATAAAAATCAAGGGGCCAGCAGTTCTCGGACTGAAGACCCCCATTCCGCTTCCCAGTACCTTTATTGAAAATTATCAGGAAGTAAATCACAAAGAGAATTCAATGCAAATGAAGCCAAGCTCTTTGTATTGAAAACCTTCCCCTGGACCCAGGAGGGAGGGGGTCAGCAAATGCAAGAATCTGGTAAACCCTTAAGGATTGCCTTAGCGCCTCAGGGTGAACTCTAGCTTGTACCTCACCTCCACCAGATTCTGACTGCATTATGAAGGAATTTTTTTTTCTTTTCAGAGAGGGGAGCGAACTGGTGGGGAGGGGTGGGCAGGGAGAAAAGTGCAGCAATGAATGAATGGAAATCCAAAACCTCTGTAAATGTCTATTAAAATTAATTTAAAAAAATATTAGTACTGGCTTCCCATACTGAAGTGTACAGCAAATGAGGCCTCTCTCCCTGGTAGCCAGCCGAGTGACTAAAGCATCAGTGACCACAGATGTGACCTATGGGAACCATCAGAGTTCAGGATCTCCTTGGATACACTCAGGAAAGGAGCCTCCAGGAGGGCGAGGAGGAAATCCTTGTGCCACCAGGAGATTGTCCACGCGGCTTTCCCAGCCTTGCCAGCCGGCCGTATGCATCCTTCTCTTCACGGGAAGTGCACATCCATGGTTCACAGGTAGAATTCTTACCTTCTATGCAGGAGAACCAGATTCAATTCCCAGCCAACACACTTCATGCACAGCCAGCTTCCCCCTGCCAATGGAGACATGCATCTTTTTTAGACAGACTAGGAAGAAAAGCCTGACAGCTTCCAAAGCGCAGCTGACAAAACCCTATGAATTTTACTGGCAACCCAACAGGATGGTGCAGAGCCTGGTGGCCTTTTGTTTTCTGTGTGAGTCGAGGCCAGCCTGTCAGCAGCTCCCACAGAGACCCTGCTCTATGAGTTCCCTTCCCACCCTGGGGCCTCTGGGCCTGGTCTCCAGCACCCCACCTCCGTTCCTTCTTGTTCATGGATTTCCTTCCACATAAAATACCCTTCATCCTCTTCTCCTCAGGGCAGTGCAGGTCTCCACCAGGAGGACATGTGGGGGAGGGTACTAGAAAGCTTCCCCTAATCTTATTTTCTAGGACCTTTACCTGCACCATTGCTTTGTTTGCCTTGTAACTTTGCTTGACTTTTCTATTTTTCTGCCGTTGTATTGTCCATGTATTTTCATTGTTTACATGACTCTTCCTTGTATTCAGACTAAAAGCAAAGCTGAGTACTTGGATCATAATACATGCTCAGTTGACGTCAGCTCAACAAGTCAGAGGTCAGTCTTTGGGAATCCCAGTGCGTGCTCCCTGCCACCAGACCAGAGAGCCTGGTAATGAAAGAATCTTAAGTCACACATCCTCCCACAGATTCTTTAGTCCTATTTGTGGAAGATTTGTAAAGTTATTTTATGACTCTCCAGTTTAAAGAAACAGAGATTCAAGCTGGATTCAGAAGAGGCTGTATCTCAAGGGATATCCTTGCTGACGTCAGGTGGATCTTGGCTGAAAATACCAGAAGGATGTTTATTTGCATTTTATTGACAATGCAAAACCATTTGGCTGCATGGATCATAACAAATAATGGATAACATTGAGAAGAACATGAATCCCAAAAACACTTAATTTAGTTCATGTGATACCTCTACATAGGTCAGAGCAAGAGAACACTGCATAGTTTAAAATTAGAAAGGTTGTGTGTCGGGGTTGCATCCTTTCTCCATACCACTCAATCTTTATGCTGAGTAAGTAAGTTGAGAAGCTGAACTATTTGAAGAAGAATGGGGCATCAGGATTAGAGGAAGACTCATCAACAACAACCTATGTTATACAGATGACACAACCTTGCTTGCAGAAAATGAAGAAGACTTGAAGCACTTACTGCCGAAGGTCAAAGATGAGACCCTTCCATATGGATTACACCTTAACATCAAGAAAACAGAAATCCTCACCACTGGGTCAATGGGCCAATAGGCAACATCATGATGAATGGAGAAAAGATTAGAGTTGTCAATTATTTCCTTTTACTTGGATCCACAATCAACATCTATGGTAACACAATCAACAAATCAAAAGATGTGTCACATTGGAGGAATCTGCTACCTAAGACCTCTCTAAAGTTTGAAAGAGAAAGGGTGTCAGTTTAAAGACTAAACTGTGCTAGATTCAAGCCAGGATGTTTTCAGTGACTTCCTATGCATCTGAAATTTGGACAATGACTAAAGAAGACCAAAGAGGAATCGTTGCCTTTAAATCGTGTTGTAGAAGAGTATTGACTGCCCTACGGTTTGTACATAGGGTCGCTATGAGTCGCAAGCGACTTGATGGCACATAACAACAACAACATGGTCTACCAACAAAGCAAACAAATCTTGGCTTGAAAGAAGTGCTCCTTTGAAGTAATGATGGTAAAACTTTGTCTCACTTTGGGTATATTCTCAGGAGAACCAGTGTTTGGAGAAGGAGACATCATGCTGGGAAAGGCAGAGGATCAGAGAAAGAGAGGAAGATTCTCAATCAGGTGGATTCACACTGCGGCTGCTACAGTGTGCTTGAGTATGACAGAGAAGATGAGGATGGCACAGGCTAGGGCAAGGTTCAGATCTGTTGTTCACAGGGGTTTTATGAGTCAGAGGCAACTCAACGGCTGTTTCCTTCCTATTTCTATTCAATGCCGTGTTCACTGTACACACCTTACAGCACACTCCTCATTGCACACAGCACAGGGCTTGCTGCCCGCTGCACACTGCCCAGTGCTCCACTGTGCACACGGCACACGTCTCTCTGCACAATTCTTACTGCTTACTGCACACTGCTCTCTGTACATTGTTCTCTGCTTCCCACACACAGCGCATTGCTCTCTACACATTGCTCACTGCTCTACACTGTACACTGCTCTCTGCACACTGCACCCTGTACCCTCTCTGCACATTGCACACTGCACACTGTTCTCTGCACACTGCTCACTGCTTACCACACACTGCTCTCTGCACACCGCACACTGGTCTGAGCCACCACATGCTTCTGCTCAAGCTACCCCTGAAACAAAGCCAGACATGTCACGTTTACATGGCCTGGGATATTTTATTTCTGGGGAAAAAGGCTTCTATCTCTGAAACTGAATAATGGTCTAGATTCTGAGGGAGTGCTGCTGGTCTAATGGTAAGGAGTGGTACTGCCACCTGAAAGGCAAGCAGTTAGAACCCATCAGTTGCTCTGTGGAGAAAGGCGGGCAGTCTCTGAAAACCTGCTAGTGAGTCAGTTATGAGTTGATTCTGACCTGAGAGTATGAACAATACAGGTTCTAAGCATCCCAAGCGCTTTGGTGTCAGAAAGATATTTTGTATGTGTGTGTGTGTGCGTGTACCATCAAATCAGATCTGGCTGGTACGGGAGGAGATTGTCCCTCCTTCCCCGACAGAGCATCTGGTGGATTCGAACTGTGCGCCTCTGGGATTGTAGTTGCAGTTCCTTGCAACTAGGCCACCAGAGCTCCCCAGGAAGATATTTTCAGGCTGTGGCGCTGTCCCACTGAGATTGAAAGATGATGGTGGTGGTGCTACGGATGCTGGCTAGATGCATGGTAGGTAGACAGGTAGGTGACATAATATGAGAGATACATCAAAGTGGTGAAATGCATAGAATCTGGAACCATACAGCCCAGATAGAATCCTGCCTCTCACTACTTTAACATTGGGAAAGTTCCCAGCCTCTGCGTGTCTTTCTTCACCAGGAAAACAGAATCACAGCACAGCTAGGGGGAGGGGTAAATAAGCAATTTGCACTGAGCCCTTACGGCAGGGCAGGGCCTGGAGGAAATGCGCGCTGTCCAGTGACCGCACTGGTTGCCACGCACACAGGACCAAACTGCTGGGTCCCTTCTCAGCCCCCCGCATAATGGAGCTCTGGTGCTTCTTCTCCCAGATCAGAGGAAACCTGAGGACCCAAGATCCCCGCTGCTCCCCATTGCCATCCCTGCCTGCATCATCGCCCTCACGTTCACCGCTGCACTGATTGTCCTAAGAAGAAGAATCTGCCTGAAGCTGCCCTCTAGAAAAGGTAAGTCAGTTATCTTTCACACACACACAGGTGTGTGTGTGTGTCTGTGTGTGTGTGTTTATATACTGATGTTGTTGAGAAACATCAAGATACAGATTGAATAGGTGTGGAGAAAAGGTGCAAGCCTGACGCACACCCTCCTTCCCATCCTTCTCCGGCCCCACATCTGGAGGATTCTAAATACGTGCCTTTGGGATTGCAGTGCAGAGACTTTAGATTGCCATTCATTCATTGTTGCACTTTTCTCCTTGCCCCCCCTCCCCCCCCAATTCCCTCTTCTCTTTGAAAAGTAAAAGAAAAATTCTTTCATTGTTATACAATCCCTGCCTCTAAGTTCATTCCACTATGCAGCCTTCGTTCTGGACTCCTGTCATGACGATAATACCTAATCACATATCCCCTTTAAACAGTTCTCTCCCTCATCTGTTTCAATGCAGTATATATTATTTACCCCCTCTTTCTCAGTCTCCCCCCAACCCCTGTGTCAGTCCTCTTGATCTTTCCTGTGCTTATGACCATTGGTGCAGACACTCTGTCACTGAAGACCTTCCTTTCCTTCGCTGACCATCCACCTTTACAAACACGGTGTCCTTTCCCAGAGACTGGCCCCTTCTGACAACATGTGTAGAGTATGTGAGACAGCATCTCGCCAGGCTTGCCTCTAAGGAAATCCCTGACTTCACTTTCCTGGGCTGATTTATTCTGAACGACTACGTGTTCTGCCACGTTTTAGTCCATAAACAGAACCACGTTCTCAATAACCTCATTCCATCAACGGGCATGTTCCTCTTCAGACACAGCAGAACGATCTGTCTCCAGTGTAAGGAGTGATAAGAACAGAGCTGTGAGGAGGCATAAGTATACTTTTCCTCTAAATCTCGTCTCTCCCCCACTTGACTTAACAAAGAACCCCTGTGCCGAGAAACTAAAGGTAATCTCATGCTGAAAGAGCTTCCTGTGTGGTGCCATTCCCTCCAGGGTGCTTACTTGTGAGAAAAACCTTTTTAAATGAGTGTCATACTCCTTTAAGAGAGAACTCTGTGGTGGCTTGGTGGTGAAAAGTTCACTGCCTGCCACTCGCAGGCATGGGATCCGAACCCACCAGCTGTTCCACAGGGAAAGACGTGCAGGCTCCCACTGGAGTGGCAGCTGTGAGTTGATTCTGACTTGACGGTACATACCGACTACAGCAGCTCCTTTAAGAACCCCCTTGTCCTTGTTCTATGCCATCCACTTGGAACCGACTCATACCTGACTGTCCAGCAGAGGCTGTAAATTGCATGGGAGGAGACTGCCTATCTTTCTTCCACTGAGCAGTTTGTGGATTTGAACCGCCTGCCTTAGTGTTGGCAGTACAACTCCTTATCCACTAGGCCCTCTGAACTCCCTAGGTAAGAACTCTCTAGATGAGGTCAGATCAACAAAAACAACTAGAAAAACTACATAGGAGCCTCAGGTGCAGTGAGTTTATGCTAATGGAGAAGGAGCAACTCAGAGAAGGAGATCTCACAAAACGCTGTACGTACGTAACATGAGTGAATCTAGAAGACATGCTCAGTGCATAAATCACAGAAGACAAATATTAACAGAACAGCAAGCAAAAAATGCTGATGAGATTGTGGAGAAACTGGAACATTTATTCACTGTTGATGGGAGTGTAAAATGGTGCAACTGCTGTGGAAGGTGGTATGGTGGTTTCTCAAAAAGTTGTAAATAGAAATATCACTTGACCAGCAATTCCACTACTGAGAATATACTCCAAAGAAATCATAACCGCCACCCAAGCCGATATATGCACACCCATGTTTATTGCTGCTTTGCTGACAATAGCAAAGAGTTGGAAACAACCCAAGTGCCCATCAACAAATAAATGGATAGAAAAGCTGTGGTATATTCACACAATGGAATACTATGCAGTACTGAAAAACAAAGAACTCTTGAAATATTATACAAAATGGGTGACCATGGAGGACATTATGCTGAGTGGAATATCTCAGTCGCAAAAAAGACAAATTATGCATAGTGCCACTGTTATAGAACAGAACTGATATGGAGGTGGGGGGGGAAACAAAGAGGTGGTAAATAAGTAAATAATATGCATGGCATTGAAACAGACGAAGGGGAGAACTGTGTAAAAGGAATACAAGATCAGGTATTATTGGCATGACAAGAGTTCAGAATAAGAGTAAAGTGGTCAGGAGGTTGGGGTACAACTGTATAACAATGAAAGAACTTTTTTTCCAAAGAACAAAAATGAACTGGGGTGGGGGGAAGAAGGATGGGGGAAATGTGTAACAATGTGTGAACGGAAATCCAAGTTTCTTATAAACTTTCATTAAAATATATAAAAAAAAGACAAATATTGACTAAGACCACTGTTCTAAAAAGCCAAGGAAAGATTTGCACACTTGGGTGGTTACCAGAGATGGGGAAGGAGGGAGCAGGGAGTTAAAATTAATAAATACACAACTGAAAGTCATGAAGTTGGGCAGCGGGAAAGGCAACACACAGTAAGAGACTGAGAAGACATTGTAATGAATTCATTATATTGACTGATTATACTTAATGTTATAAAATGTATATGAACAATTAGGTGAAAACCCAGTGTGATTGGTGTGATTGGTTAACTCTCACTGAAATCCAAAGCAAAGGCAGGCGAGAATGGTGGCCAGTTCTGTGGGCTCGGTGTCACCGGGCGTCTGTGGAGGACTGTGGGCACAGCGTGTTCCCTGAGTTTATTCACAGTAATGCTCATCCGTAGCTGCACTGGGAACCTTCTAACCTGACAGGCTCACCTTCCGACATCACATCCAGCACTATCTGACATTCTTCACAGGGTTTTCCTCAGCAACTCCTCTTACTGCCTTTGCCATGTCTCTTTGTGTGGTTAACTTAACCTCTCGTGCCAGGTGGCCTGTCCTTAGCCCCACTAACAGAAGCCCCACTAACACCGGGTGACCCTGCTAGTATTTGAAACACTGGTGACACAGCTTCCAACATCACAGCAACATGCAGGCCAGCACAGGGGACAGACTCCCAGATGAGTGGTAGTTCTCAAAGCAACAACAAAATCATTAAAAAAAAAGAGAGAAAGGGAGAGGGAGAGAGAGAAAGACGGAGGGGGAGAAGGAGAAAGAGAGACAGAATGTGATAAAGGTAAAAGCAAGCCTGTGGCGTTGTCCAGCTGTGCCCTGATGCACGGGAGGTCTCCAAGAGCAGGGTGGACACCAAGGCTGTGGTTTGACTTCTGTTCCGAGCTGTTCCCAGGAGTCACGAGGCAGCTGGATTCAGAGCTAGAAACGTGGCTGGCATTCAACATGCAACTGTGATGCCATCAACACATGCTGTTTTGCAACAAACATTGTGGGGCACTATGGGTCAAGGGCAACTTGGTGAAATGGTCAGGCGTGGAGCTCAAGTTGTGGAAGCGGCTGTCGGGGGAGGTCAGGAGTTGTGGGTTGGGGGCTCCAGCAGTGCTGTGGGGTCCAGCAGGAAGGGGCTACTCCTTGTTTTTTAAGAGTCTCTTTTCTTTTTTTTGTAACTAGAAATCATATGTGATACATGAATCAAAAGCAAAGCATAGTGACCCAAACCCCATTGCTGCCCAGCCGCGTCACAGTGACCCTATAGGACAGAGCAGCAATGCCCCTGAGGCGTCCAAGGAACTCTGCTGACAAAGTGGGTGATATGTTGGGCTACTCACTGAAAGAGCAGCAGTTCAAGTCCACCAGCTGCTCCACAGGAGAAAGATGGGGCAGTGTCCTCCCCTGACTTACAGCCTCAGAAACACGCTGGAGGGCCGCCAGGATGTGGATTCAACTTTACAGAAGCCAACTGCCATAGCTTTGCCCTGCGGAGCGCCTCATGGATTAAGGCCCCACCTTTTCGTTATTAGCTGCGTGCTTAATGACCACAAAGCAAGACATTTCTGAACGGCCAGGCGTTGGACACTGAGAGCACTCAGAACTGCTCCTGGGGGGATTCTGCCAAAGACAGACAGTCCCCAGATTCCAGAGGCAGCACCTGTGGCTGTGATCCCAATCCCAGAGTCTGTCCAGCTTATACATAAGACATGACTCCTCGGACTCAAAACATGACTGAAAAGGAGTCACAGGGGTGGTCCCGGCCCCCTTCCTACCCCCACCACCCTCCCCGGCAGTGCCTTCTGTCTCATGCCCTCACCCTCTCACTCCAGACACAGAACAAACGAGCTCAGGGCAGCCACGCTGAGTGTCTCTGAATCCCCAACTCGTTTCCTCGACCCAGAAAGGATGGCAACGGAGAGTCGGTGGTGGAGCACTCGCTCCCCACTCGGGAGACCTGGGTTCAGATCCCAGGCACTGTCTCCACCCATCAGTCAGTGGAGGCTTGAGATTAAGCTTAGGACAAAAGGCCTGGTGATCTGTGTCCTTGTGAGCAATACCAGCACGAACTCTGTGGGACACAAAAATCAGACCCCGTGTGTAAGGAGCCAGGGGACGATTGACCACAGCTAATAACATGTATTTTCCTCTTTGAAAAGTGATCTCTTTTGTTTTCTCGCATTTGTGGATTTTTCTTCCTAGGGCTGAGCCTGTGACCTTAGGAGTTGGGTGGCCTGACAAGACAGCCCCAAGAGGCCTCGGGCTCTGAACAAGGACGCCTGGCTTGTACTCTCAGTGTCTTCGAGTGACCAGCCGGGCACTTTACTCTGGATTCAGCAACCAGGCCTGGTGCACCTGGCCCTGCGCGTGGAGGAGGTGACAGCGCCCTCACTGTTCCCGCTCTCGCCTCTCAGCCTGAGTTCGGAGGAAGCACAGTGGCACTTTACAAACACCCTCCGCTGAATCCTGACCCAGAGAATTCCAGGGCTCCTTCCTGCTGCTGGAATGAATGCAAAAGAGAATCGTCTCCTATGATTTTCAGATGCAGAGATGTGTGGAAATTTCCAGAGAGCAGAAATGAACAGGTAGACAATGGAATGATTATCTACAATGTCCTCTGGACACCGGAAGAGCTGCTGTGATACTGAGCTCATGGAAAGGGCTTTGAACACGCAAACCTTCGCTGATGGACTTCACGGCCTGCCGGTACTGAGAGCATCAGCAGTCCTGGAAGGAACACCTGTGAGCTCACGGAGGGGCCAGCCGAAGCTGTGGAGGGAAGGCCCAGGCCTTTTCTTTTGATCTGAATCACAAAACCTTTCCTTTCACCTGGAATCCCAGGACGTAAAACCGTATTTCCTTTTGTATTTAATAGCCCCTTCTTTTGGAAATCAGTTACATATCTTAAAAATGTTTGGCATTAAAAAAACAAGACCAAAAAAGCCACACTTGAGATGCTGATAGTTTCTGTCTGCAAACACTTCCAAAGAGCCGCCATACTAACCCCAAACTAAGGCACCCTGCCTACCCCTTCACCCAGCTTTAAACGTGGCATTTCAGTGTCCACGGCTGTGAAACAATGATGTGTGGCACCATTCTCCCAGGACCAGCAAGCATGGGCACTAGTCAACCACCAGCTCTCAGAGTCTGTACAAGTGCAACAGCATCGTGGGTGAGTGGGCATCAGCAGGCTCTTTAACTCGTGCTCACAGGAAAAACTTGGGGCTAATGGGAACAGGGGGAGTGACAAGGATGAATTCTGTAGCATCTCAGTCCCTCGATTCTCTGAACAAATCAGAACATAGGGCTGAAGAAAACCCAGAGGTTCGGTCTTCAACCACCCCAGATTTCCTACCTGTGGCCAGGTAGCTTCCTGGGGTCATGGCTGTCAGTAAATTTAATACCTTCCCAGCCTAGCTGTCTCCTGTTAGGTTCAAAAGCCTCTGAGGCACATTGGGATATTCCCCCAGAAGGTGCAGTCAGGGCAGAGAATCCTGGTACCTGATGATACCAAGATGGGCAGACTAGACAGACCTTCTGCACATGGGAAGCAAACCCACTGACCTAGACCCCACCTTCTACGACAGACAGGTCAGAGGCACGCTGGGTGCGTGGGCCGTGGTGGCTAACTGTGCTAGGAACACACCAGGCATAATGGATTGTGACAAAATGCCACCAGTCCCAGCCCTAGAACGGGAGTGTTTTTCAGACTATCAAATAAGTGAATCCCCAGCTCCCATGTCCTGAAACCCAGGCTTCGTCAGAGAGCACTATGTGGGCCAACCATCAGAGCACCTAACACCCTCAAGCGTGCACTCCGCGCTCCATGTTGTTCAGCATTTTATACATGTTGGAATTGCTGTTACTGGGGTACCATCAAGCCGACCACGCCTCACGGTGAGTCTGTGAACAACATATCCAAACCTTGCCTCATCCTATGCCATCTTTATGATCTCTGTCCTGTCCAACCCCGTGTTGTTGTCAGCATATCATCATCCCTCTCGTTGAGGGTCTACCTGGCCTTCGCTGACCTTCCCTCCACCTATTCCAGCAGGATGTCTTTTCCCAAGGATTGGCCTCTCTTGACTCCGCGTTCAAAGCCTGGGAGAGGAAGTTTCACCGCCCTCGCCTCTAAGGAGCAGGCCAGCTGTGTTGCCTCCAAGACAGACTTGTTTATTTTTTGGCAATCCATTTTATCAGTCCCCTCCAAACCCTATTGGTGTCTCCATTGCACAGCCAGAAACTGAGTCACAGAGAGGTTACGTAACTTTGCCTGTTCAGGTGGGAGGGGGGAGCTAAGACAGTGCACCCACATTCGTCACACCCCATGGGTGTCCGATGGGACTTTACAGGTGACACGTATTCTGCGGAGCTTTGCTGGCAGAGGGTTAGTTTAACTATCACTCCTTCCAAGAGTGAGGGACTCAAGGTCGAGGGAGAATGCGTGTGTGACTTCCCTATGTGCAATATCCCCCGCCAATGTGTGTGTGTGTTACAGAGTGTCTGTCAAATGATTATGGTAGGAAGGTATTTAGTGCCTTCCTTTATCAGACACTTATCATGTGTGGCCCATAGCAAGTGCCTGGCACATACCAAATGTCATTGGTAATCCCCTGGATGTTGTTGTTGTTGTTGTTGTTGTTGTTGTTATGTGCCGTCGAGTCGTTTGCGACTCATAGTGACCCTATACCTGCCACAAAACCAAACCCAAACCTATTGCCCACAAGTGGAAACTGACTCATAGTAACCCTGTAGGGTGGAGTAAAATGACCCCTGACTTTGGAAGTGTTGTTAGTGCCGTTGAGTCAAGTACAGCTCGTAGTGACCCTATGAATAAAAGATCTGAACCCTGTCCTATCCTGTGCCATCCTCACACGTCCTGATACACCAAGAACTCATTGCAGCAGTCACTGCAACAATCCACCTGGTCGAGGGTTTTCCTCTTCTTCACCAACCTTCCACCCTTCTTAGCATTGTGTCCTCCTCCAAGGAATAGCCCCTGCTAGCAACATGCCCAAAGTATGTGAGGCAAAGCATCCAAATAGCCCTCTGCCTGCATCCTTTCCAAGACATACGTGTTTGTTCTTATGGCCGTCATGATATGGTCAGTGCTCTTCTCCAACACCTTAACTCAAAGGCATCAATTCTTCTGTCATCCTTATTTACTGCCCAGCTGTCAGATGCATAGCAAGTGAACGAAAAGACTATGGCCTGAATCAGATGCACCTTAGTCCTCAAACTGACATCATTACTCCTCATTAATTTGGAGGGGTTCCTAATTGCAGATTTTTCCAGTGCAATGTGTCTCCTAATTTCCTGACTGCTGGTACCAAGGGTGTTAATTGTGGATCTAAACAAGATGAAGTTGTTGACAGCTTCAATCTCTTCTTCATCTAACATGATGTTGCCTATGATCCAGTGGTAAGAATCTATGTTTTCTTGACATTGAGATGCAGCCCATACTGAAGGCTGCATTCCTTGATCTTGTGCCACAAGTGCTTCAAGTCCTTTTCACCTTCAGCAAGTAAGATTGTATCATCTGCATAGCACAGGTTATTGATGAGTCTCCCTCCAATCCGGATGCCACACTTCTCTTCATAGAGTCCAGCTTCTTGAATAATTTGCTCAACATACAGATAAAATAGGTATATAGAGAGAGTACAATCCTGATGCACTGCCTTCTTAATTTTAAACTATGCAGTGTGTTCCCCTGCTCAGTGTGTTCATACAGCAGCCTCCTGGTCAAGGTATAGGTTTTGCATTAGCACGATCAAGTGTTCTGGGACTCCCATTCTTCTCAAAGTCAGCCACAACTTGTTATGATCCACACAGTCAAATGCCTTTGTGTAGTCAATAAAGCACAAATAGACATTCTTCTGGTATTCTTTACTTTCAGCCAGCCTCCATCTGACATCAGCAATGATGTCTCTGGTTCCACGGCCTCTTCTAAATCCTGCTTGGACTTCTGAAAGTTCCCTATCTATTCCAGCTATTTTGAATGTTCTTTCCGGTCTATGTCAGGACATTTGGAGGACCACTGTCTGGAGAATGGATTGGGAGAGCTCCCTTGAGATTACACAACTGTGAACTTTTAGGGAAGCAGACTTCCTCATCGTTCTCCCAGGAGCAGCTGGTAGATTCAAACTACTGACCTTTCAGTTAGCAGCTAAGACTTGAACTACTATGCTGCCTCCCACTATGCCTGGCCAAATATTCAGTCCTTGGAAAGGTGAAGGGTCAGGGAAAAGAGGAAGACCCCCCCCCCAATAAGACTGATACAGTGGCTTTAGCAACGGGTCCGTGTGGCAGAGATGGTGAGGTGGCACAGGATAGGACAGGGGTCAGGTCTGTTGTTCACAGAGTCACTATGAGACATAGTCAACAGCACTTAATAACAACAACACACAATCAAGCTGGTCTGTCTGCAGATTTCTCCTAAGCCTTGCTCACCCGAGGGTGGTGGGCTATCTCTTCACAGAATCCCCAGCCCAGTCAGCTCCACGCACCCCCTACACCATCCTCTCTCCCCACAGTGCCTCCTCTCAGGGACCCCAACTCTCCCTTTCAAAAACTCCTATCCATTCAATTAGATTGTAGTGAAAGAACCTTTCAACTTCACCGTAACTTGAACACAGAGTAGTGCCCAGTATATGCTGATCGATTAATTAGAAACAGGGGCCAAGCAGCTGAGACAAATAAAGATGAGAATTACTACACCCCAAATATTTTAAATTGCTACAATTTCCCTAGGGGAGTTGATTTTATTTTTTTTTTTTACCATCATTAGATAAGAAGCTCCAAGTAGCTGGTCATTTTGGCCTGAGGAGCGTTGGTGGCAGTTTGACTGCAACGGCAGCTCAGTGGGTGAACGATGAACTGTTTACTTCAGTAAAGATTTCCCCTCAGCCCATCGCCATCGAGCTGTAACCACTCACAGCTGGCCCTCCCTTGGTTTCTTGAGGCTGTAAATTGCACAGGAGGAGATTGTTCTTCCGTCTCCAGAGGAGCCGCGGGTGGAGGCAGACTGGCAGAGATGTGGGGCCTTTGGGCGGGCAGGCAGCTGGGCACCGGAGCTTCCTTGCCGCCTTGGACACCTTGCTCCCCTGCCCGCCAGGCTCCATAGCAGCTGGAACTGACGGCAGTGGATGGCTATTTGGCCTTTCTTATCTGCACAGACGGAGCAGATCAAAGAAGGCCACACATTCATCAACTGTCCTTCCATCAAGAGGTAAGGTCTGTGTCCCCCAGTGGCCACCTGCCCTGCTGTTGCCACATTAGTGACACATTCAGGAACCGGAAACAGAACATTTTCTAGTAAATCCCCTGACAGTCCAGCCCCATGTTGCTGTTAGGTGCCTTTGGGTCAGTGACCCTGGATGACAGGTTAGAGCAGAACCGTCCATGGGGTTTCCTCGGCTGTGATCTTTACGGGAGAAGATTGCCAGGTGTTTCTTCCACGGCAC